CAAAATTACATGCTCTTCTGGTTCAAGTAGACAGAGAGTACAAATGAGCTCCAGACCATGTCGAAAAATACCATTCCTCCCTAATTCTTTTATATCTCTAGGGTGGAAGTAGGCAGTTAGTTTGTAATGTGTAAAAACATAAGCATCTGTACACATTTGGATGTTCTATAAATATGAAATGAAATATGAGATTTCTTTTGTGACAGTTTTTTTTTCTTTAATATTTTAACATTGCCATTGCACATCTGGACAGTGATTTCTTCTTTAATTTCAACGTGCTGATTTTTTATAGACCGTGTTTGAGTAAAGCAATTTGAATTGTGCAACTGTTCATTCCAAGCAGAGCAAAACATCCATTTAATTCAAAGATTATTTTCAAGGAAAAAAGTAAATATACCAAAGAAATCACTTTCTGTCAGCCTTGGCTTCCCATTACTCAATACTTAACAAGGTTAATGTAACCGGGATTCTTCTGTTTCTTTCTTTTTTCTTAAAGAGATTTAAGTGAGTGGATGACATTACTCTCAGGAAAATCAGAATATGTCATGTTTTAAGAATTATTTGACTACCTCTTAACTCCCTCTCGTCATGTGAAGTTTAAATATGCACGTGATTCAGTATGAAAAAGCAACAATTAATATCCACTGTAGCATGATTATATTTAATAATGTTGTTTCCCTGAATCCACTCATTTTTCCACTATGTTGGCCTCCCTGTTATTGCATCTTTCTGGTCATCTCCCTTATGCATCTTTGTCTGCTAGAATAATTTCAAATATGCTATCATATTTTTATTTAGATGACTGTCATGGTTAATATTTTATATCTTTACAAATCATAAAGTGTTCTGTTGTGCTGAGTTACAATTAAAAGCATGCTAATATTAAAAGGACCCTCCTAAAACTATATAAGATAGTACTATGGGTGTAATTTGGCCTTATTTTGAAAATGTTTTTTTTTAATGTGTAACCATCTATAATGTTTTATATGTTAATGACAATGTTCAGCAAATATTGAATATGAAAAAAGAAATATTATGCTTTTAAAATAATGTTAACAGCTTATTCTTTGGCTGTAATATAGCTGGCACACACTGCATTTGGGGCTGTCTCTGTGTGTTTTTTAAAATGTCATCTTTATTAGTATTACATTCAAGGAATAGTACCACGAATCAGTTTCTTTCAAGACCTTCCTCCAGTGTGTGGCATATAAGTCTGTGACGAGCGACATTACAGAAGGTCATGTCACTTTTAACTGCTTGCATTACATCTTTCTGATTTCCCTGGTGCCCTTCCTTTGTTTGATTAATACTACTTGGTTTCAAGCAAGGTATCAGAAAGCATAATTTGGAAAGAGAATTCCAGAGCCAAGCTGAGATATTCCCCCTTAAGAAAAAAACAGAAGGAAAACCCCCCAACTTTGTAAATGTGTCCATTCTAACACATACAGTTTTTTCGTTACTCTTTTCATTTTTTCCATCCTGGAGGAAATCCTACGTGTGTGTATTATTAAATTATTGCTGACAAACGTTTGGGCAACCGGACTTTGAATCTTTAAAAAACAAAACTATGTAATGGTTGTTTGGCTTTATTTGAAGAGGAAAGATCTGGAATTTAAGAGTAGGACTCCTGTGTTTTATTTATTTTCCTTGGTTAAGTGTTAAACTCCAGCACTCTTTTTTACATAGCAGGTGTTACTCTGGGAAGGGTTGCAATTTTGTGTATTCATTAAAGGCACTTCGGTTGTATATACAGTTTGTTTTCAAAAGCAAGTTTGCAGTTTCTATATTCGTTGCATTTGGCTAAAGCTTACATCTTAAATTGAAGCTCAGCTTCTGAGATATTCTTGCCCCCTCAGCCAACCATTTCGCCGGACCATAAAGCAAAATGCTAGGGTGAGAGCATTGTTTCAATTTGGAATCTTTATCCACACCTCTATCTGCATCCCTGTAGATGTTGTTTAGTGTTGGCAAAAACATGAATCAAGTTTTATGGCATTAAGAACAAAGGGTATGGTGCCCAGAACGAAAAATAGACTTTAATTTCCAAGAATTAATGGCAAAAATATTGCATTGATTTTTTTAATTAATAACGAATGGTTTTGGAAAATTGTTTTGAAGCAGGAACTGTACTGGGTTCTTTACATACATAATTTCATTGGGTCCTTAACCAGCCCTGTGGGACAGGGGCTATTATCATCTTCATTTTTCCAAAGCACCTTAAGCTTCACCTGAACAAAATGTAATAAGGGGACACGTCCTGAAATGGCTTAAAGGCATCAATAGGAAACCATCTGTAGTATAAATCCTCACTTATGGATGTTTATGATATAGCATTAAAAAGACACTGAAGGAGAAAAAAGCTCTCACTAGAGCACTAACACACAACACAAAGGCCCCTCGCTAACACAACGCTTTTCTGCCAAATGGAAAAGCAAATGACTGTACTGGGTGGTTCTGGCTGCACATTTGTGGAGCAATTGTGCGTAGCCAATTACTCACTTGTGCAGGGTAAGAACAGTTTGAGTTTTGCAAATGAAGAGCCTAATTCTGTAGACTTCTTTGAGTCATACTTGAGTTTGAGAGTCATAGCTGATTTGAAAAATGTGTAAACTAAGCTAGTGGCTTTGAATTTTTAAAAATTAATTTGAAAGCTAGTGGAGAACCCCAAGTCTTCAAATAAAGTGTTCAAATATTTCCAGGCAAATATTTGGAAGCATTTGTAATATTTGACTTTGCTAATCCATATCACTGATTAGGTATATGTCTCTCCCAGTGAGTTAAGTCAAGCCTATAAGACAAAGGATAGATATTTTATCAATGAGTGTTTCAAAAATATGAAGGATTGAGTGTTCATGCATCTATGCACTCAGTGAAAAGTATTTCTTGAACATCTCTGATGTTCCTTCCAATCTAGATACAATTCTATACCATTCGTCCTCAGCGAACCAAAAGTGTAACTACTGCAGAGAGGAGGCATCTGATACATTTTTCATAACTAACCACAATATTGGAGTTTATTCACAGAGAGTAAAAGTAGAGTGTTCATTTCATTTTCCCAAAAATATCTGATAGGACCATACATGGGTAATTTTATCAAAATAAAATTTTTACTTCATTCAAATTTAAATTTTTAAAGATAAGTCTATTATAGATACAAAATAATTGATCTAAACATTATGAAGTTTAGGTGAGTTCTTTTGATGCAATCTAATGTGTTGAAATGTTGTGGCTGGCTCTTCCTTTGCATACTTCCATCAGCAAATTGCCCAATTTGGAAGAGCCTGTATATGTCACCTGAATTAAACATGGTCACTATTGTCTGCATACTTGTGATGTGAATACTGCAAATGCAAGAAAATTAAAAGTCAACACAAAGGCTTATCTGATAGTCCCTATTTATATCTATGTGTTATTTATCCTTGTATTCCCATATTACCTAGTTCTGTGTGCCTTGGACAAGGTGGTCAATAATAAATGCTTATGGGGTAGTTGAATATAGTTAGAGAGAATATCAAGAGTTCATCTTTCTCGTTGAGGTTGAATTACTTTGTATGTTTCCAAATTAGTGCGAGCTCTCAGCATGCATTAGAAAGAACATGTTGTACTACTGTGATTCTTTCAAAGTGCTTAATGTCCAAGTGAAAGACCACAGAGTCTTAGACTTTAATAGAATATGTAAATTAATTGTACATTAAGTTGAGAACAGTTTCATAGATTTTCAGGTGGTTTGCGTTACATTTTGGTTGATAAGATTTCAGATCATCTTTCAAATCACTTAATCCTTTTAAAATATTCAAGAAATGTATTGGAAACAACTAAGATGTATTGCCTCAGTTTATACAATTTCTTGCATAATACAGCCCTGGTTATTGAAGTTTCCACTCAGGCTATTCCTGTGGGTTAGGGTTAATCACATGAAAGAAGGCTTGGTGTCTCTAGCTTCTAAAATTATGAGATTTGAGAGAGAGGTTTTAAAGTATCTAATAACTATGATTCTAGTTATATTCAGACTGCATTAGAAAAAAGCACCATAAGAATTTAGAAATTAAGAAATATGCTGTGAACATAATAAATTTGGATTTCCTGAATAACAACCCCATATCACAGAAATTTTATACTTTTGTTTTTCTTGGAATGGTTGTATGTTTGTTTATGTGTGTGAAACTATTCAAAAATCCTCCTGAAATCAAGTCCAGTTCTTAATGCCTGCACTTCTACATTCATTGAGACACAGGGAAATTATTTGGCAAGTCAAAAATGAGTGTTCCATTGTACTGAGGTGGGTGAACTAGGAGACATTAAAAAAATACACATATAAATATCTACCTACATGAGTTATTCCTACATTTTATGCACATTTGTTATAGATTTTGTTTTAATGTCATGCTGATAATATAATCCTTGAATAAAATTATAGAGAATTAAAACAAGAGTTTTAGGCAACCCTCAAAATCAAGAAGTCATTCAGATAGTTGAATTGACTCCATAGATAAAAATTAAAATTTGAGCCACATTAAAAATTGTTAGTTTTATGCCATAGACCAGCAGCACGAATCAGTTATCAAGGGTTGTTTGTTTGTTTGTTTTTTAATCTTACAGTTTGGTGAAAAGTAAATTAGAAATAGCGGAGCTGATTTATGCCTAGTTATCTAGCTCTAAATTTAAAGGGCCTGATTAACACAGACAGCAGAATAGGTAGAAAGGAGGTTTCTTGATATAAAGCATCCCCCAAATCAATGTTAGTTTACCTTATGCATACTTCAAATTCTTTGTCACAAAACATTTCACATGAACAGGATTCCCCCATTTGGCTTCCGTCCCCTGCTTTTAATCAATTAAAGGCAGAGCGTTTTCCTAATCTCCGTCTCTAGATCAAATATTCCCTCACAGTGCATATGTTTCAAATGTTAATAAAGTTTTCATTTCCAAAAGGTTCAAAATGACAGAACACAATTCTCTCCTTTAAAGAGCACAAAAACGACTTCTGTTTCTGTCTGCAGGTAGTGGAGGACATGCTAGAGGACGAGGAAGAAGAAGATGACAAAGATGACAAGGTAATTATCTTTCCCAGCACTTGGTACCTGGGGATGGGAATGTAGACATGACACTGTTTTCACCGACAGTTAAAAAAGGAGTTGAAGTGTTTGAGTCCAGAAAATTGGACAGTGCTGTTTATCATCCTAACAATGCCACTGCATGTTGCAAAGAAGGAGAGAGGGCTATAAATCCTCTCCGCTTTTGTCCAGAGCTGGGTCAAATATTTTTCTGCCAAGAACAAAAAAAATAATAATAATAATTCAGCTTGTCTGGAACTTGATAGCTCTCGTGAAGATAATGGCAGTGACAACTGCTTTTGAAGGGCAAAAATTTGTCCTATCTGGAGTATTACAAATCAGTCTATGCTTTGAGGGGAGAAGGCAGTGAAAAAATAGCAGCCTGCATGAGTTGAACATGGATATTGTCACCTGCAATTTTTAAAGAATTTCTCAGCTACAGAAAGCACAAGTATGCAGAGCACAAGAGGACATTTAAACAGCCCTGGCACTCGCTGCCTTGGCCTAGGTTTGGAAGGACTCCGAAAGTCCACTCAGAGACACTCATTATTTCGGTTGCTGACCACAGTAAATAATAACAGCTTGTTTCTAGGATCATTTGGATTGGTTGTCTCTGAGGAGAGGGGACATCTAGAGGGAAGAATTAGGGCACTTTACTGCCACTGCCACAAATGACTGGATTTGGAGAAAAGCTTGCTATGCCAAGGAGGATGGCGATTCTGTTACATGTAGTCTCTGGGTTCTTTTAGACCTTAAACCTAAAAAAGTCCTAAGGTGAAGAGGAGACTGGGAAGACCACATCATTATTTGCACATTGTTTGGCATATGAAACCAGAGTTTGACTTTCACCAGAATCTGTCTGACTTCTGTTATAGTAAAGCAATGAAATTTTTGAAGAAAGGAGAAAATTGGTATTTTAATTTATGCCCTTGACCTTTGATTCCAGGAGAGATGTACAGATACATCCCGGTGTTGTGTTGGAAACAAGCATTAGAAATGTCAAAAAAATTCACAGTGATGAAGTAACCTCGCAAATGATTTTTCCCCGTGATATTCAGTGCTTGAAGAGAAGTGGAAACACACACTTTCTCTCCCTTCTAATACTATTTTGAACATTTTTGAATTGATGGAAATTCTAAGTGAAATTTTTCTTTTGTGTATCACTTAGTTATTAGTGACATCATCAAAGGACCAACAAAATTTCCTTCCTGCAAAAAGCACATATGTGCTTGTTTTTTAATGTTAAATAACATGAACACACACTTCTGGCAATAAATGATGTGATTGATTGTTAAGGTCAGTCGTAGAGCTGTAGAGAGCTTGTATTTTAACTCCACATGCCAGCTCTGAATCATCATTTCTCTGCGAATAAACACTGAGCAGCCATCCATTTATGGCCATTTTCCCTTGCTTGTTGCTGCTTTATTATTAAAGCCACCATAAAGATCCATTCTGGTAGCAGGCGTTTCCCCAGAAATGTTAATAAATGGAAGTCCTCAGCAAAGTCTAGTACTTCAATGTCTCTGCTTGAAGTCAGCCTGTGTTTTTTTTTTTTAACCAGTTTGTGAATATTCTATACCACTGGTCTCTCCTTTTAATGATCATGTTTTAATGGAGAAATTTTGGGCATGAGACACAAATAGACACACCTGGTTAAGTGACTCACCAAAACAGAGATGTCAAGTGGAACGTGCCAGAGTAAAAACAACACCAAATCTCTGGAGTAGCATCTATTGTAATCTAGTGTTTGGTTGCCTGAAACTGACACTCTGGTTCTAACACATTTTCAGATCTGGTTACCAAAGCTGATTGAAAGTGAGCACTTAAATTGCTGTGTGAATGCAACCATATTCTTCTGTACGAGATGCCGACAAACATGTAAAAAGATTATAAGCTGATTTTTTCATGACTCTAAACCTTTTATTTGAATTATATGTAAGATTTTTCTTTTTTTATTTACTCTTAATGCAATCGATAGCCTAAAAGTGATATTCAAATAATTAGTCTCCAAGGCAGTAATTTATGACAGACTTTTAAATTCTTGAGTAATAGAAGAGAGAATCTTAGAGTACAGTGGACATCTTGAAATGTGAAGTTTTTAGTATAAGACTTGGGACTCTGAAAGGATCCTGCGAGCTTCCATTTACCAGCTTGCATCTCAACTGGCTCTTACCGCAACGAATGCAGTAAGTTTTGGCTATCAGTGCGTCCAAATGGGAGAAGGGTAATTTCCTACTTGAAAAAATTCATCGGTTCCTCTATTTAAAGTTTGTGTATAGAGTTATGCGTAATGGAATTTCATGAGAAAACAAATGTGTTTTTGGCCATACGAGCAGGTACTGACCTCTAGCTCTCATTATTCCTCTGTTTGCTCATATGGTATAATTGTGGGGTCAGGTCAGTGGGTCCTCTTATAGGATAAAAGTAAAAAAGATTAATAAATGTGCCAAAGCCTCACTTTAATTGAACCTGAAGCATGTGTTGCAAGTATGTGAAATATGTCCCAGATGTTTCACCAGGGCTAGTGTCTTGGTTTTCCCTGATTACCACCAGGCAGCTATTAGTCCTGTAACCTTTGGACTTGAGGGTAAATGGGGTATTACATGGCACAGAATGAGAGCACCTGTTTTCCATTCAGCAAAGACCCCTGGCAGGCTTTGCCTAAGCCCATCCATGTGTTTTCACTTAGCAGATTGTTGGGCGATTATGAAAAGTGTCTTTCTTTAGAGCCAGCACTGATACTAGTCACTCACAATGAAAGGGCGAGTCATTGGCTACTTGACAAGGTCCGTGTGGACATGAACTGCAGTCCTTTATTTCGTTTGAGCTTGGAGTGTTTTTCCTCAGCACAATTATGTACATGGCGAAGACACAGGTAGAAGAAGTGGAAGCAGACGAGGATGATAATTACTCACATAATAACTTCGTAGAGCTTTTCTTCAGAGCTGGCTCTCACAACTTGGAAGACTTTGGTTAATGTTGGTTAAAGCTAAGTCATGATTTACCTGGAGCTCCTGATTTTCAAGCTTTTCTAGATTATAGCCTTTTAAGTTTTCCTTGAATTCTTTCTTCTTATTAAAGTAGTTCATCATTATTCAGGTGAGGTTTTGTGGCCAGTCTTATCCTTTATTCTAAAATATATTGTCTGCATTTGCTTAAATGCAAAATTAGTTGGTATTGCTCTTAATCTAATTCCATGGTTTGCACAGAGGCAGAAAGTATGAGTTTTAAATAGTGAGTTTTGATTATGAATCACTGAGTTGTTAATGTTTTCACTTATCTGCATTATGTAGTAGTGCTATGTTAAGCTATGCTGGAGATGACTTTTCTTCCTGAATTAAATGTTAGAAAGATATCATGTCATATTTCCAGTTCCCTTTGTAACAGAGCATTCTCTCAACTATCAACCACAAAATCACAATATGATCTGATTTTTGACCGGCCACCAAACCCTGCCTTTGTGGCTGACAGAATATCAAAGCAAATAAGGCTTAACTAAAGCAGCTAGGTAGATTCTCGACAAGCCATATAAGAGTGTTTTTGCCATGCTGTATATAATAATACAGTGGTTGATCTGCATAATCTCACCATCTAATTAATGAAGATCAGCCTTCCGTCTGCAGCTTAGAAAGTTTAGGCTTGCTTCCCATGGTGCACCCTACCCTTGTAATCAAATCCAGCTGCAATGTCAGGAAGCAGAAGGCAGAATGCAGGTTTCCCTAAGGAAAAGCATGAATTCAAATGCGTGGCATTCTAGTAATGTTTATTGATAAAAGATATTAAAATGCTTGGGCATTTATGCTTACATTGCTTCTCCTTTTTCTTCAACCATTATGTCAAGGTTACTGTATTTCAATATAACTAGATGCAGTGAATGAAACATATCTGGGTTACTTCAAAATATACAGATCATTTGCTTCAATTTTTGAAGTCTGTGTTTCCTGTTTGGTTCTCCACCCCAAACATGTATTTCTATAATGTATCTAAAATTCATAAACCTCTACATCTTAAATCAACTGTATGTGGTGGGTAGGATTGGGGTAAAGTGGCTAATTCCATGATAGGAGAGATTTCAACCTGACAAAATTACATTTTTCCAGTTACCTTCAATAACGGCATGGTGACAAAATAGCTTGAGGCTTTGAAAAAGGCAGGAAATGATAAGGAAGATTTTGTTTTTAGAAAATCCTTAATCACATTTAATTGGAATGTCATTGTGTTAGTGTGTTCATTTTCTATTGTGGCATAACAGATTACTATAAAGTTAGAAGTGTAAAACAACATTGATTTCTTTATAAGCCTTCAGTTCAGTAGGTCAGAAGTACAGACCAGCCAACTGGGTTCTCTAGTGAGGGTCTCATCCTTACAATTTCAGTTAGGCTGAGTTCTTATCTGGAAGCTGCAGAAAAAAAATCCATTTCCAAGCTCAGTCAAGTTATTAGTAGGGTGCAGCTTGTTGTAGGTAGAGGACCATTGTCCTTACATTTTTGTTGGCTTCCTGTTCCTAGTGACCACCTTCCTTGGGACCCTCCATCTTTAAACTCATCCGTGCAGAATCTCTCTTGGGTTGAAACTTCCATACTTCAAACCTCCTTTTTTCAAGAACAACCTAGCCATCTTTAAGAGCTCACTTGATTAGGCCAGAACCACCAAAGATAATCTCCCCCACTTAAAGGCAACTTTCCAGGAAAACATTAACCTAATTGTAGGAATGATCATATTCTTAAACCCATTGCCAAAGGGATGCTACATGATATATAGATTAAGAAGGGGAAGTCTTGATCCCTGTGTTCCACTTTTCATCACTGTGACAGAGTACTTGAAATAAATGACTTATTTATCTGAACATTATAGCTTTGGGGACCAAGGCTTCAATCCATGAACCTTTCAAGGACATTAAGAATTCAAACCCTAATACCATCTTTGAATTCTGCCTACCACAAGCATGTAGTCCTGGCCATGATCCAAAGTGAAAAATTAAACAATCTTTGTGTTCCTTGGGTGTATCTATTACTAAGTTGTGCCCTAACCATCCTACAAAAAAAGACAATATCTGCCTAAACTCCTGTTAAGGTTCACAGGAACACCACGTAGAAGAAATACACATTATATACTGTATTTTTTAAAGAAAAACAGCCATGGTAAAATATACCTCGCTTGTTATCTCATTCTGATCTGGATCAAAGGATGATTAGGCAGGCAGAGGGCCTGATGGACCATTTCTTTACTCTTGTTTTCTCCTTCTGGAGAAGAGCAAATAAGAATTAAAGTAGTAAAGAGTGGGGAAATATCCATTCCTCTCTGGGGGACCATTAGATGCTAAAACATACTGGGATGATGGCGCCTGACCTCAAATGCATAACACTTTTTACTTAATCTAGAACCATAGTGACATTAAAACTGGAAGATACCCAAGAAATAACCTAATTAAACCGCCTTGTTTTAAAATGAAGGAACAAGAGGCTGAGTGTGTAGCTCAGTGATGGGGAGCTTGGCTGGAACGTGCAGGGCCCTGGTTTCCCTCACCTGCATTGCAAAAATAAGAAATCGCCTCAGCATAGTCTTTAAGTATCTAAATAGTACAAGGAGAAAATATACTTTCCTTTCCAGATAAGAGCTGTTTGTTTTAGATATCCACTTCTTACTTTTCTGCATACCCAGCTTTTTCCCCACTTATACTATTTAAAGGGTTGCATGTGGTAGGTGGAATAAAATCAAACCTTCATCTTCTAATCCCTGGAACTCATGAATATGTCCCTCTCATGGCAAAGAGGAATTAAGATAGCAAATAGGATAAAGATTGTTAATCAGCTGACCTTCAAACAGAAAGATTATTCTGGATGATTTGCTTGGGCCCCATGTAATCACTAGTGTACTTAAAAATAGCAGAGGTCACCAGAGCGACCAACAGCTGGCAAACACTTGTACAGCCATAGCCAAGATTAGGGCTCAGGACCTTTGCAGCAAGCAGGAAGAGCTTCTGGAACAGCTGGACCACCTGAAGATGGAACTCTCCCAGCTGCATGTTGCCCATGAGACAGGTGGCATGGGATCTAAATCCTCCAACAGGCAAGCTGTCCACAATCCATTGCCTTTGTTCTGTCATTAACCAGCCTTGGAGAACCTCTGAATGTTTCACAAAGGCACGAAGTGTAAGCCCCTGGTCTGCAGCCAAAGAAAGCACATGCCGGCCTCACAGGCTGGGCAAGCACAAGGAGCTCAGGATATCAAGCGATAGCTGTGGAAGGAGCGGCTCTTCTCCACTGGGAAGGAGAGTGTTGAGGTCTGAGCACTGCAGCATCAATAAAGCATAAGTGGGCAGAGGGGTAGGAGGTAGCCACTGCCTTGCCTGGCTCTGAAGATGAAAAGAGGGATCTGTAACCCAAGAAAGCGTGGGCAGTCTCTAGAAGGCAAAAAGGCCAAGGAAAGGGATTCTTCTCTGGACTCCCTGGAAAGAAATCAGCGCATCCACATCTGGATTTTAGCCCAGTGACACTCATTTTGGACTTCTGAGCTACAGAACTTCAAGATGATAAATTTGTGCTAAGCTACTAAGTTTATGATACTTCACTACAGCAGCAGTAGTAAACTACTACAGCTACTTTCCAACTGCCTTTCCTATACTTCTCTGAAAATACTACCTTTCGAAGAACTAGATGTTGACTTCATGTTACCCTTCGACATAAATATAGTTATACAGTTCCTTGTTCAAATGGAAACTTAAAAACAGTATCCAAGAAAGCAAATACTTTCAGTCAAATTGCCTTAGTTTTTATTTTAGAAAAGCTCATCGGGAAATGAGGACGGAGTATTGGACATCTCAAGACAGCTACATACTTTCCTGTTTAGGAGCCTGTTTTATGAACTGCTGAATGGACCAACAAGCAATGGTTAATTTTATTTTCTCCAGCATCCAACATGTTCAATTCCTTAACATGTTTCACCCCACAACACTCCAGAGCAATTGAGTATAAACCATATCTAGATAACAAATCCCTCCAGAGTCTCAAAGGTATATACTTTCTCCCCAGAAGAACATATACAACCATAGACTTGCATGTCATTTTTTGGTTTTGGTTCCCAGAATTGAATTCAGGACCTGGAATTTGCCAGACAGGCGCCATGCTGCTGAGCTATAACCCTGGCCCCCAGCAAATCATTTTTTTGCATGCCATTATTTTTTTTTTGCCATGGAAAAGGGATTATAGGTACTCTAAGGTATCTTTATAAATCAGATTTCTATTAATAAACCACTTTTCTTGACATTAATGCCTATTTCCTCAAGCACTTGAGAGAAATGCAAGTTTTTCAAGTAAAAAATAATATTAAATTACATTTAAAAGTAAATTTCTACAAAAAAAAGTTGGTGTTTGCTTTTGGTAGCATGGGGGGACTTTTGATACCACAGTAGGGTTATTTTGACATCCTTATGGCTTTTCTGGTCTATGCCAATAAAAGCTAGAAACATTGACTTGGCAAAAGAAAATAAAAACAGGGCCTTCCTGGAAACTGTGAGGTCCTGAGTTCAATTCTTGATACCCGAGAGAGAGAGAGAGAGAGAGAGAGAGAGAGAGAGAGAGAGAGAAGAAAAAGAAAGAAAGAAAAGTAAAACAAAATAGGAGATGCTGTGGTTTTATTAGATACTTAGAAAAAATCAGAATTCCTGTAATTCTCCAAAATCTTTGTTTGACTTATTTGTCTCAATGGGATACTTTTTGTAAAGTTTGCATCATTACTGCATCATCATTTTTAAGAAACATTAAATATTTATGGTTCCTGTTAAGGTCACTGGAGGCAGATTTAACTTTTGAAGACTTAACCTTATGAATCCAATTATAGGTGGGTTTCTACCTGTTTAAAAAAAACAAACAAATCTACAGCCTTGCTATTCCTTGTTCAGCTTTGTAATACTTGTCCAGCCTTGAAATATCTAGGTATGTGAGCCAGGGATTTAGCTCAGCACCCTAAGCACCTGGCTGGCAAGCACAAGGTCGTGAGTTCGATCCCCAGTACACACACACAAAAAGAAATATCTAGGTATGTATCTGTTCCTTTTCAGAATGGTGGGTGGGCTAAGGGAATTGAAATTAGAAGATATGCCTGCATAACCTGTAGCTATACTTACAGAATATCCATCAATAAACCGAACTATGAATGGAACTCTTTCCAGTTGGGTTCTTCTCATAGTTGGATTTCCTTTGCTTAAAAAAAAAAAAAAAAAGTAAAACTTTCACTGGAAGGCCAGTCAAATGTTTTAAGACAAGTCCTCTGGAAAGCTAGTTAACTTCTGTAGTGCAGCAGTGAACTTCCTCTTTTACTTCCAATTCTTGACAAAAAAACTCTCGAAATAGCATTATGTCAGCCCTGGCTCTCAGGAGGTTGACAATGTACAGAGAAATAGACACGATTTTTTCAGGGTAGTTGGCAGAGCCGTTGACACCGGCTGACACCACTGCATGTTGAGATGAGATGACTGTTTCTTCACCAAAGCGGCAGAACCAGATGTGTTTCCAAGCATCACAGATGCTCCATCTGAGTCCAGAGTGCCAAGATTTTTATTCTGCCTGAAAGTTTATTTGGCAAAGAAATTCTTCACCATGTTAAAGATATTGACTCTGCAGATTCTGAGTTCTTGCTTGATTATAAGAACTCTTTAATAGGAGTTAGCTATGCAAATAGAAGTATCTATTTCTTTAAGTTACAGAGGAAGGGAAATATAAATAAATGTCATAGATGCTGTAGCATAGACAACATTTAATGAGGGCAAGACTTCAAAAAGTGTGTGGAATCAATACCTTTCCAGTGGTAGGTGGTTTTTGTGCTTTTAGTAGATGATAGGATTGACACATAAGAAAAGTTTCTGTGCAAGTCTTTGTTTGGGGAAAATCCAAGGCCAGGTAAACATTTAGTTTTTAAAAATCAGGATACTTGTTTATAAAGGTAAAGATTCAAATTTCTGATTTGCATAGTAGGTAGCCTAAGGTTCCCCTCAGTTAATTAACTTTATTAACCAGAATTCTGCTACACAAGAAATCAACAATTTTTATACTTTATCACACTCCATAATTAATATAAAACCAGTAGATATGGCAACTTCATGGTACTTTTTTTATTAGTATATGTTTGTAATACATATTAACCACACTCATTGAGGGGTTTGTACACACACATATTGCATCGTGGTTGTTTAATTTCTTTTTGTTTGAAAGTTTTGATTTACGCTAGACTCAAAGTAAACAAAGATATATGGCTTGTAATATGTGATGTATTTTAAAAATTTTCACCAAGAAACTTTTTGAGAAGTCCTAGTGTGGTAGTGATGAGGTTACCCATCTTCTTATCTCTAGTAGCAGCTGTGGACGATTGCATTGGGTTTAAAATGTAATTTCCTTCATAGAGATGTGCAGCATGGCCATGTGGCTACTTTGACACAAGCCACCTCCAAGCAGAAGGTTTAAGAGCCATTGTTGGCTCTACTCTCTCTCTTCTCCATTTGCAATGATCCCGGGACTATCCACATAGAGGCTATTTCTTTGATCTAAATTCTAGAATAAAAATGAGAGGAAGTCAGCCCTGTGGACACATAGTGCACGCAAAAAATAACAATTGATTTTCTAAGCTTCTGAAATTTTGAAACTTTGTTCCTGCAACTTGACTTAGTCTGGACTGATAGATCCAGCACCATAGCCCATACCAGGCTGTGAATCAGTGACTTTCTTTTATGATTTGACATGGAGTGTGGATTTTTTTCCAAGAATAATCAAGGCTACAGAAAAGAAGTTAGGAAATATTTTTCTTCCTTAGTTTACAGAGAGTTAACCTTCTCTCCCTAATCTTTGAAGCAATCTCAGATAAACATTGAACTATTTTTGCTATTGAGTTGAAATCTCATTGAAAAATGATACTTTCGTTCACTGTTACATATTGAGGGAATAGTCCTAAGGCAAACAAAGGTAATATGACATGCTACTAACCTTTCCTACTAGGTAATGAGGGGTCTTTTAGCTGATGGGGCCCTCAGTTATATAAAGTCATAATTATAATGAAGAAAATTTATAATAAAGTTATGAGCAATTTTGGTGAAAAATAGGGTTATCACTTTCTCAGAACTGTCAAAAAATATTCTACAAAGCAAGTGGCATTTAGATGGGTCTTGAAGTTTCAGTAAGAATGTACCAGGAAGTGTGATATACAAAATCCAGGACTGTATGCTATAATAGGAACATATGGTTCAGGAGGGAAAATGATGCTGGAAATGAAAATTTAAGATTATAAAGCTTTAGCCATACTTTAAGGAGTTTAAATTATATTCTCCCATACAAGTAATATCTGTCCAAAAAAACCTCATTATTTGAAAAGAGAACGTTTGGCATTAATGCAAACAAAATGAGAAGTAAATGAGAATTAAGTAGGATATTGCTGGGAGATAAAAAAAATAGTTCTAAAAAGAAATAAAGTCATCTTTTAACTTAAGCATTAATAGTGATAATAGAAAGAAACAACCCCAAAAGATGTTTTAATACCTGGTATAATAAGATTACTGAAAGCAAATTATGTTGAAGAGAGTAAAGCAAATTTTAGGATACAGATAATAGAAACATCTAGCTGATATATATTTGTTATACCTGTTTCATATTTCAAAGTACTTTCTCTTATTGCCTTTTAAAATATCCACAGTAACTCGGTATATTGGCAGTCTTTCCCATGCTGCAATATCAGGAAGGGTAATTTGGCTAGCAGGAAACTAGCTAAGACTAGAAACCAGCTACCAGGGATGATTTGTCTAACAGAGAAGCTAAGACTACGATTAGGTAGCTTCTTTGGTAGTGAAGAAATGGAGATCAGAAAACAAGTCATCTAAAATTTTCCTTCCAAGGCCTGTTGTGGTAGAGTCAGTCAACCCACCTAGAAGTGACCGCTGGGCCACTTGGTTGTCCATCCTGCTTAGCGCAGTGGGAGGAAGCAGCCTTCACACTTACCTTGCCCGTTGTGTCTAAGCATTGGGTCTTTACAGCACGTGGGAAAATGAAGGCAGCCAGTCCGTGCCCAGGGTGTTTTACCCGGTTAGCTCCAAGCTTCCACAAGGAAGCACAGGTCCAAGGCAGAAACAAGAAGAATAGATAAATGTTTCCTTGCCCCAAAAGTGGATTCAGAGGGAAAGATACATAGTAATCATGCTTATTTTGGCTTTGAGCTAGTTGTCATAAGGACAAAAGCAACTGGCAGAACGTAGGTCATTTGAGAAGCAGTTAATGCTGTCACTATTTTATAGACCAAGAGACTGAAAGCTCTGAAAGAGAAATCCCTCAGTAAAAGTCTTAAAAGGAGTGATACCATCTGCCATCACTTCTTTGGCACGACAAAACCTCAAAACTTATCAAAGTAATAATTACCTTCTCTTTTATTATGTACTGGGTTGTCTGGGCTCCTCTGGGTAGTTGTTGCCAAACTTCTTGTGGTTCTCATCTGATGCTAGGGGCTGCAGCCATCTGAAGGCTCAACTAGGCTTGACCAACGAGGTGGCTCAGCCTGTGGAATGGCAGTAGTTCTGGCTTCTCCTATCATGGCTGCTTGTTGCAGAGAGCGGGGATCCAAAGATGAGTATTTCAAGGGACTCAAGTGGAAGCTGCAGAGTGCCTTAGAATCTAGCTTTGAAAGTTGAAGAATGTCCCTTCTGTCACAGTCCATTAGCCAAGCAAAACACTAAGACTAGATTTAGGAACATGGAAATTCAATTCAGTTCTACTTCTTGAAAGGGAACACCAAGGTCATACTGCGTAAGAACCTCGGGAATGAGGGATATGGTATACCATCTTTGGAAAATAAAACTATCAGGCAAGAACAAACCAAACAAGGCAACTTCATATTAGATAGACAGATAGATAGATAGATAGATGTATATATGTATAAAATTGGTGTCTACTTCTCCCCTAAATTACAAAAGGACTACATAATTCTTTTTGTCTTTTTTTATACTTAAGAATTACGACTAAAAATTTCACTTTCTGTCTAAGCCCTCCTGCCATTTGTTGAGAATTAGGAAGAGATTACAAAGAATCCCTTCAAATAATTCCTGTGCAAATTTCCATGTGCTTTCATTGTCCTCCACTGACAAAAGAGGACAAACTGCCAGCCAGCTGCATTCTCACAGCCAGGTTTTGCCTACTGGCACTGGCTGCCAAAGGTAAAGAGCCTCAGGAGGAAAGGAGGTGCTAGATGCTTCTTGTTATAAAACATAGTAGTGGGGCTGGGGATTTGGCTCAGCGGCATAAGCGCTTGCCTTGCAAGCAGGCAGTCGTGAGTTCAATCCCTGGTACCGATAAAAAATGAAAAAGACCACAAAAATAAGTAAATAAATAAGACATACTAGTTTCTACTTTTTTAGAAAATATAATTTGAAATTGGCAATAGTTCATATCACTAATTTGTTCAAGGATGTTTCCTGTAGGATTTATTTATTTAGGTACTGGGGATCAAACTCATAACCTCGTACTTGCCAGGAAGGTGCTTATATCTCTCAGCTAAATCCCCAGCCCAAAAGTCAGGTGAATTTTTTTATGATTTTTTTCTTGGTACAGGGGATTCAACTCATGACTTTGAGCTTGCTAAGCAGGTACTTACACCATGGAGCTAATCGCTTGGCCCCTCCTATAGGATTTAAAAGATCACTGATATCTCTGAACATTTTGTTGTAGGATCTATAGTAGTTTAATCAAGACCCTTTTCCATTATTGCTGAAGCTGTTTCTCTGACATGGTGAGACAGTATTATGCGGATGTTAAAACCAATCTTCCACATGTTATGGGCATAAATGTTGCCTCTTGTTTCTGATATGTCAGCCAAGTATTCTGATCAGCAGTGATGTGAGAATGAGGACATCATCTGTATTCTCTTTGTGATTTCATACTTGAATATTTTGGGGACATCCAAGGTGATATGATAAGCGAATATACAGCTGGGGTAGTCTGATAATGTAAGATTTTATTGATTATCCAACAGAGTAACTACCCTGAGTATTACGTTTGCTGATCACAACCTTCAGTTCCTGTGATAGTTGAACAAGTTCTTTTTTTTTTCCATTGAGCAAACCTCAAAGTCACATGGTTTCTGAATCAAGGTCCTCAGATTTCATACTTTGGCAATTTCTTTCCCTTCTAATAGGATATATTAGAGAAAATGTGTCACCTTTTGCACCATGTAATACCAAATCAGATCAGAATTCATGCACAATTTTGTCAGTGAAAATCTAATAGTAAAACCTGGCTTATCTCTAGATAACACATGGAAAAATAAACTTCCACAACTGACAGATTTACTTGATTTTTTTCAGATAAGTTATTTGTAAGCAATTGAGCTAAAGAATGTAACTGGATTATTTTTCATACCACACACACACACACACACACACGCACACGCGCACACACACACACACATACACACACACACACACACACGCACACGCGCACACACACACACACATACACACACACACACACACACACACACACACACCTCAACAGTAAAATGGTTGCTAAGTATTCAATCTTTGTCATGCTGATTTTTTTCTTTTTCTCTTTGAAAAAGTTCTTTGATAATGAATGCAAGGAAAGAACAAAAATAAAAGACATTTTACATTAACTATATTTATTAGAACTAATGACTTCAGGAAAACAAAATTTACTTTAAAACACATGAAAATAACATTCGTTGATAGTTAATGGCAGTTAAGTAACACAGGTTATGTGGTAGCTTACCTGGGAATGATACTAGTCTGCCTAAAAAGCATTCATCTGTGTTTCTATTTTGTAATCAGGAAAAGTCAAAGCCCATCACTAATCTGAAATCTTCCTGAAACCTATTAAAATAATTTAAGATAAGTTGTACTGCAAATGTGCTTTTTAAGTGTTTTAGACTTAGGATGTCTTAGGGATGTTGTAACCCCTTTTAATGTTACTATTTATATATAACTACCATGTGTATAGTATTACACCTTTAATGCACTGTATTAGCTGTCACTTGAAATTAAGTGCAGGCATGTTCTTTTCTGGCCTTCAATTTCTCCTACATTAAACGTTTAAATAATGACACCAGTAGTAAAAGGGTCGGGAGCATTCCCAGTGGGAACCAGCTTCTGCATATGGTGGGGTTCTGTTCGCATTTCTGTGTGGAAGATATCATAAGATCAGAATCTCTGTGTTTACACACCTGGTATCCAGAACTCTATCTGATGTCTTTGCTTAGGGAATTAGTACAATCAAAGCTTATGGTAGGCATGTGTGATAGATAGGCCTTGTCTGTAGAGATCTGGCGATAATTCCATCAAAATTTGTCCCTCGTTGATCATATATCTATGCATTTTTATATCTTTGTGGTTTTTTTCAACAACCCTCTGCTTGCATCAGTGCCTTCATTAAAAGGTCAGATTTTGTGGATTTAAGAATTCACCTTGAAAATGTGCTATAAGTTGAACATATCAAACCTGGCTTTCCTGACTCATTACGAACTTCATAGCACTAAGAATAGGCAGATCCACAGCTAAAATATTTTATTGGCATCTATTTTAATTTATATGAGGAAAAGTGGATGCTTATTGATTTTAGGGTTTTTCCCTGGTTCTACCAGTCACGTTTGATTTTCATGATCTAATGATATTGTACAGACTTCTCTCCATGATGAATCATGCAAACATGCATCATTGAAATATTCAAAGCAATTAGTTTTAATGAAAGAAACTATATAGGTGAGAGTCATTTGGAGTAAAATCATTGTTGTGAAAACTAAAATCGTTTCATGAACAAAGAGCCACCTTCCTACAATCCAAATCATAGTGATATAACTTTCTGTGTGGTGCTGTGATTTTTTTCCTAACATCAGGTGGAAGAAATTATTCTGTTAGAGAACAGATTTTATTTTACAGTTGATCCATTATCACTGGCAAGTACTTTTATATTTAATTACATACCCACACAGAAACGAAAGTAGAAATATTCTAATTAAAAAGAAAGAATTTCTATTTTATAATTAACTAAAATTTCATTTCTTATCCTTAAATTAATAAATTCCTAATTTTCAATTAACCTTCTAATTATGCAGAAAGAAGATCTAGTATTTCTTTCAAAATGTAAGACATGTTCATTTCTTTATGTATTCATACATGTGTACACTTTATGTGTGCATAAATATTTGAGTGTCTGTGATAGATGTCACTTCTGTGTGTAATATACTGATACATTTTTAGAAAAGAATGTAGTAAGTTTTCTTCTTTACTCGTCATCAATCTCATACATCTATCACCTCCCTTGACTTGCTCTTTTCTCCCATCTCAACCTTTTGTTTTGTGGTTTCCATCTATTCCCCAAGTTCACTCACTGCAGACAGGAGGAGGTTGCCTTAGTCCTCCTGTTCCGTGCATGTATCCCAGTGTCTCTTTACTAGCCCCCTCTCTCTCCCTGTGCACTCGTGGCTTTTACAAAAATACTTTAACACTTCAATTTTCTGCCTTTGTCTCCACTGCCTGGATATCATTAAATTTTGTTCTTCCTTTTAATTTCTTTGTTTTAGTGAAAATGACATCATCTTCACAGAGAGAAGATAACATCAGCGTCTTGGTATTTATTCAGTTGCTGATAGGGGTGTGCACTTGCAAGTTGATGCTTCATGCTATTTGGGATATAAGGAGAAATGAGACCTCTTTATTTCCAGGGGATTAAAAATCTTTTGTTTTGTCTTTCATCCTAAATCTGTTATTTCTTTCCACCTCTTGGACAACAAAAATTGTTCCATCACAAGTTCAGAGTCAGTGTATTGCGACCTGAACTTGTGTTCTTTCGCTAACACTAGTTTCATTTCTGCTTTGCTCTATCAAAGTCTTCTGCACGCATCCTTTAAGATCCAGCTGAAATCCAGCCTCCATTACCCAAGCAAACTCACTAGCTGGTAAGGAGCTCCCCTTCAGAACACATAGTAAAACATTTATTCTACCTAGTTGGCATTCATCTTTTTCTCCACTTTCATTTTATGTGTGTGTATCTGTGTGTGTGTGTGTGTGTGTGTGTGTGTGTGTGTGTGTGTGTGTGTTTAATTATGTACAGGGCATTGTGATGAGCCCTTCACAAGTACTTTCTCACTTTCTTCTTCTTGACAACTCTATTAGGTAGGTCCTATCATTGACATTTTACAAATGAAAGCAAAGTAATTTGTCCAAAGTCACAAAGACTGAAATTCAAACCAAGTCCTATCTAGACTTCAAAGCCCATACTTTAAACCACTATGCCACATTGCTTTATGATTTTATGTATTATTTATTAACTTGTGAGCTTGTTTGGCTTTTATATCTCATAAATACAGGTAACCAGAGCTGAGTATCATAAATATATATATTATGCACAAGAATACACAAAAAGTAAGCATTTGGTTGACTAGTCAATGAATGAAAGTGTATGGATGAATGGAAAATAGCAATCAGACATCAGAACTGTCATTCAAATTAGCCATGTTGTACGCTGGCTATTACTTAGCAAAAGCAAATTGGCTGTCAAATGATCTCCATTTTGCCAATATCGTTCCATTCTCCGTGTGATATTTACACCTCCCATAAGTGTAATTGCATCTACCATTGCCAGTATGATAGAAAAAGAAATGTCTTATTCCTGCACAGATAATTCGTTCCTGTCTCTGCTCTCTAGTCTGAGCCCCAGGCCCAAGTGGTGCACCCATGACAGAGTCCTTGTGAAGCCCCATCGTCTGCTGTCAGTCTCTCTCCTTCTCATTCCCATAGCTATCACCCAATTTCAAATCACTCTGACCTCCAGTTAGCTAACCTCTCAGCCACTCTCAGCTACAACACACCTTCATTTTCATTTAATCATTCATTTATTTAATTTATTTTGATGGTACCTGAGATTGAACCCAGGTTCTTCATGCTGAGTTACAGCCCTAACCCTTTTTTAATTTTTATTTTTAATTTTTATTTTGAAATAGGGTCCTGCTAAGTAAATGCCCTGTACATAATTAAACACACACACACAGATACTTACTGGAACTTGAAATCCTCCTACCTCAGTCCTCTGTGCTAGGCATGGATGTGCACAACCATGCTTGCTAAATGCATCTTTCAAATGCTGCCAGTAATCACTAAAGATTTCTTGAAGCAACATAGCATGATAGTGAAGGTCAGTGGCTTTGGAACCAGGCTGTGGGTGATACTGAGCAAGAAACTTCACCTGTATCCCTGGGTTTCTAGTATGGTTTTTGTTTTGGTTTGGTTTTTGTTTGTGTTTGATTTTGTTTTGTCTTTTTGAGACAGGGTTTCACTCTGCAGTTCAGGCTGGCCTTGAACTCACTGTGTAGCACACGGTGGCCTCAAACTCACAGCGATCCTCTTGGCTCGCCCTCCTGAGTGCTATGATTATAGGTGTGCACCACAATGCCAGCCCTCCTCATCTGTAAACTGGGTTACTAGTAGTTCCTACCCCATAGGGTTATTATAAAAGTTCAATATATGTAACGAAGTCTGGCATGTAGTGAGAATTTCACAAGCATAATAATAGTAGTATCATTATTGTTGGAGTCATTATCATCCGCGGCATTATCAGCCATGGGAGTCCAGGGGCCTGTCATGTTATTAAATAGAATAAAACTTCTGAGTAGGAATAGATTGGAGGGAGGAAGAAAGTGAATTCTACTTCTAATTTTGAAATGTCATCACAGTATCACACTGGGCATTTTAGCAGGTGTTAGAATTAGAAATCTAGAGCTCAAAGAAGAGCTTATAGGTAGAGACTTAAGTGTGAGAATGAGCCATTAGAGAGAAGCTGTAGTTACAGAGGGAGAGGGTGTTGGGAGTGAAAGGAAGAAGGCAAGGAACAGTTCTGTGGAGAATGTTTCTCCACCGGGGATAAAGGGAGGACAAGGACAGAGCATGTGGCTGAAGAGGAATCCTCAGAGTGACAGAGGAGGATCCGTGTCACAGAAACCAGGCCTTCTGAGAAACACAGCCCTAGAGTTAAATATGGCACATGGTCCTGGAAGGCAGGCTGAGAGAGATCTAGCAATGTTGACTGTCAGATAGTGTTGGCTGTGGTGCTTCCATTCCCTGGAGCAGTGGAGAAGAAAGCAAAGGCACATCCAAGGGGGCTGCTAGGATATGTCTGTCCCGGTGACTTGACTCTGATGGCAACTAAAGGAGTTGGCAAGGCCTTGCGGTTTGGTTTACTCAGAGAGAGCCGAAACCATTTTAGAAGGAGCCACCGGGGAAGGAGGAATCCGGAGCTGGAAGAGTGGAGGGTGAAGGTCTCAGGAGCTGTGGAGCTGTAGAAGGAGGGATACGAGGTCCTGTCTCTGCAGGGACCCGCTGGGTGCAGAATGTGATGCTGAGGAAGCCCACGCAGC